GCAATGATTCAAATCTAAGTTATACCTAGCATCAAATGATGTGCATTTTGTGATAAGCTGTGATACCTACTCTTTTTTCCCTCTTCATTTAAAGGACTGCAAGGTTTTTATAGGGTAATATTTTCTGCTAGTACAGATCTTGGGCTGAAAGGTAGTTTGTTTCTATATAAATGCCATGTAGCCTTGTATAATGAACCTGTGTAACAAACTTTTCCTGTTTTACTTATATTTTTGCACATGCACTGCGTAGCACTACTCATGTAGTGAATATCTTTTGTCAGCGTGAGGATACTAAATAGTAATCCCAGGGGATGCTTCCCAGCCGTTGTACAAGTTAAACATTTAGCATTTAGAGAAAGGGAACAGGATGTTGTCTTTTACATGTAATTGTAATGGTTATGTGATATTTATTTTTTCTTCCATACAATACCTATTCTCGATTATGTGGAGGTTTCTGCACTCTTCAGTTGTCACTTTCTCCTTTGGGAATCTGTAAATATAGCTACAGCATTAAGAATGGACTTGTATCTCAGTAACTCATGCAGGCTGATATTTATAGTAACTGAAGAGGAGGAATAGTGGATGGGGAAGAAGGCAGAAGTTCTTGTACTTCACAGGTTCCTACAAGATATTACTGAATAGAATTGTAAATATTAGCTACTCAGATTGACCTCTGTGTAAGCAGTAAGTCTTGAACTGGGACTGAGAGGTATAATATATTCAGAGAAAAAAAGAAAGAGTACTGTGAAATGATTAGAAGATATATCAACAGTAAAATTATGACAAATTGAAAATCAGCAAGCACCTTTGTCAATCTGGTCTACATGTATGTGTATTTATTTTGCTGTATTAGGCAGCACATTAATCATCACTATGTGAATTTAGCCCTCTAAATGAACTGGTGCACTGGAATATGATGTTTGTTTAAAAAAAAAAAAGATGGAGCTTCAGCTAAAGATTTCCAAAGTCACTGAGAATCTGTCTATTGACTTTGGTAGGTTTTGGATCTGGCCCATAGCTCAAAAGCATTGGGCAAAATCCCATAGTGCTTCAAAGCTGCTGTGGAGTGTTGCTTCAATGTGAACTAAAGGAGGATTGCAGGATTAGGGCTATTATGGTGTCACTTTTAGATTCACAAATAGGACACCATCTGGAGAAAGTATTATGGTTATCCTACTTTAGATCAATGTATTGTCAACTGTAGAACAAGTAGCAGTGTCATGGTATTATCCTAGTTATAATCAGTGCAGCAATGCTTGTAGTTGAGGGTAATGCTACATCACCTTTTCCTAAAATAGGATTCCTTACTTCATGAACTATTCATTATAAAGTATCACTGGTAAGGTTAAATGCTGAAAGGCAAAATACAAGAAGAATCACCATGTTTATGAGCAGACTTCTGCTGAAATTGGCAGGTGATTCTAGTGTGGCAGTGGCTAATTTAATCAACAGTTTTATACTATTACTCCTGGCATCCCACACAGTTGGTTGCTGTAGAGTATAGGAATAGGGATTAGGAAATATGGTCAAACTGTCCCCTTTCCCCAGTTCAGTGGCTGTGAATTGCCTTCCCCTCTACTATATCCAGTTTGCCTTTTTCCAGACTGCACTGTTGAGTACTATTTCAGAGACTTTTTATACAGTCCATCACTGCTGAGTCTACTGCAGAGACTTTCCCTTTTCCTGCCCTACCACCTCAGCCAAAATATTAGTTCTGTTACATATAAGATCATAGAATCATAGAAAATTAGGGCTGGGCTGGGAGGGACATTTGGAGGTCATCTCATCCAATCCCTTCAAGGCAGGATCATCCTAATCCAAACTATCCTGTACAAGTCTCCATCTAACCTATTCCTAAATCAACCCTGCTGTGTAAGTGTGGCTTAATTCAGGGTCATTTTATCTGTTGTGGGCATGTCTACATGAGATGCTAACTGCACAATAGCCAAATAATACTGCATCGTAGTGCGTCACAGTACCGTGAGTGCTACTGCGCAGTATTATTAGGCTACTGTGCAGTGGTGCCACTAAAAAGACTTTTGACGGTGCTACTGCACAGTAACTGGTTACTGCACATTTATTTAGTACTTGATTATACAAGTACTAAATAAATGCACAGTAGCGTCTCATGTAGACATGTCCTGTGAAACTAGTTCTGTAGCTTAACGGGTTGCAAGAGGGGAGCAAAAATGTATTGCTAAAAGATTGCCGTGTTGCATTTTATTGCCTTGTTTTATTTATTTATTTATTTTGCCTTACTGCCTCCTCAAAGTGTGAGGTCTCTCAAACCTCAAGTATCCAGTTGGAGCTGAAAAATACAACCAAAATAAAAATAAGGAAGTCTTGAAAGAAAAGAAGTGACCCATAGGAATGAAATAACCACATCACACAGCCTTTGTCAATTAGTAACAAAAATCATTGCCTACCAGTGAACACATTTATAAGTTCATGAATTGTTACTGTCTGAGCTCCTCTTTTATCCTAACTTTCTAGTATCTTGGTTAAATAGGACAATACATCTCTGCTTTTTTATATGAAATATCATACCACGTACAAAATGCTCTGGATTTAAAATGAAGAGTGTAACTGGAAATTTTATATTAAAAATGAATGGTGCCACTGCTTGCTCATGTTTCCTTTTTAATCTTTCTGGGATACAAGTATTCCTATGAAAAGATATTACAATAACAAAACTAGAGTTTTAATCACAGCATGTCATATTTTTGACTAAAGTTAAATACTCATGATCCATTATTATGAGTGCCAAAAGACAGTGGCAAATACATTGTTGCATGTGCTATTTATTCATATAGTTGACTGAGGTCCAATGTAGCCAAAGGGCTATCTTCTGCTTTGCTAAACCAGAACCAGGTTTTGATATCCCTACTTGCACTGATTTAATTTACATAGCTTCTGGAGTAAAGTACTACTCAACATGAGTACAGCTGATGGAATTCAAATTAATTTAGGCCTCTGAATTCAACCGTCTGAATATAAATTAAACTAGTATCTGTTTTATTACAATTTTTTTTCCAGATTCTAATATGCTTGTCAATGATGAGTATAATTTTTCTCTTCAAATAGTCTTTGTGATGTCAAAAGTAATATTTGGGTAGGATGCTACTTAGCATGTGGAATAGTGTTAAAATGTGGTAATCCATGGGTGCATCTACACATGAAATTAGTGGAATGCAATAAACTCTGGTGCAGGTTGTTCTGGAGTTCATTGCTCCTGGGCAAAGTGTTTACACATACAACATGTTGAGGGGTCAGCCTGCCAGACTGGAGCTGTTTCACCCAAGCTCAGTGTGTTATGCAGGGGCTTGCTGGGGAAAAGGGTGCTACAGTGTGGGGCTAGCTGTCAGGCAGCCAGCTAACTCTGCTGTAGGATAGTACTTGTCAGGCAGAACTAACCTATGGTGGAGTTAATTAGTTTACTCCATCCTAACAGCTCCACATGTGTAGATGATTACACTTTACTGCAGACCGAATTAGGTAATTCCACAGTAAGCATCACATGTAGATGCTCCCCGTGTCTAATACAAGTTGCCTAATCAGAGGGAAGAAAAGGTTACTATAAGATGCTCTTCACTTTTTGGTATTATATCTCCAAATTTCATCATTGCTATAACTTAAAAGCGATGGCATTTTAAAGGTGTTTTCAGTATCACAGAATGTGTACACACGTACTAACTTTTTGACAGTTAAGCTAGTTTAAGTTTTTAAAGTCACTTTAACTGTCACAGTGTACACACATATGTGGAGCAAAGTCAACTTAAATGAAGGGCCAGATAATATACCTCCTAGGTGTATTAGCTTTAGTCGCATTAGTTAAGTTGACTTAGTTGACAAGGACTAGGGACAGACATTACACACACACTGGTTTAAGTGATCAGAAACTGGTTTAAACCTGTAACAGAACAGATGTTCAGTGCATATAAACCAGTTTGAAAATGGCTGAAACCAGTTTGAGATAAACCTGGTTGAATATAATATCAGACATAACTGATTTGGGTCAAACCAGTTTATGCAATGTCTGTCCCAGACCCCTTGCTGGTTCAAGATAAACCAGACTCCCCCAGCATCCCAGCATGCTCTCTGGGCTGGGCGGGGCTCTCTGTTTCATAGCAGGGCTGGCCCCTTCCCTCTGCTCCCTGCATGCAGCTCTGGCAGAGACTTGCAGGCACAGAGCGTCTGCCTGGCTTCCTTCTCCCTGCTAAGCAGGGATTGTTCCCACCTCCCCTCTCCCTTACGCAGACACCTCAGCATTAGCTAGCAGACCACATACTAGCTACCATCCGTCCTGTGGGAGACAACAAAGGGAGACAGGCTTTTTGGAGCTAATCAACAGGTAGCTTAATATCCTTCCTTGGAAAAGCTGTTTAAGAAGAGCTGTTTAAGAAAAGCTCCATTAGTTCATGGAGAGAGGCTTTGCTTTCTTAATGGGTTGATAAACACTGAGTTAGGGGTAAACATCCCCTGCTGGGCTGCTGGGGGAGGGGGGGGGAAGAGGGCAATAACAGCATCCAGTTGGGGCCTGGCCATGACCTCCTCAGCTCAACCCTGTTGAAGGGAAGGAAGGGCTGCACTAGTGCCCTCCAGCATCTAGCCTGAGCTACTGCAGGCATGTGCCTGAATTTCCTCAGTCTAGATAGAAAGTCTGTCCGGTTACGATTACCAACCAGTTCAACCTAGCCAGGTTAGGCTAACCTTCAAAGATTGAAGTAATTCAGGCTCAGGCTTTTTGAATGTCTGTCCCTAGCCAAGATGGCTGCCACTATGTCAAGGAGCTGTACGTGCGTATGCTCCAATGTGGCTTAATTTAAGTGGACTTTGTCACCTTATTTTAAGTTGACATAGTATGTATGTATGTATGTATGTACCCACGGTGACTTAATTCAGCATGCTTTCTTGTAGCTAAGGTCTGATTTCTCCCCATACTCTATGCCCTTACTTGGTTGCTAACCTGCCTAAATGCTTGCTTTGCTTTTACATACCAGGATGTTTTGAATAACCTGGGTTCCTGTGAGTTGGATGAAGATGACCTCATGCTCGACTTGGAATTCCTAGAAGAGCAGAATCACCATCATTCTGGTAAGCTAGAGAAATGGTAGTTATGTACAACTTAAGTATTATGTATATAATTGTAAATTATAAAAGAAAAGTGTTAAGTGCAATCACTTGGAAGTGGTAAAGATCCATGGTAAGGGAAGAGAGGGTTACACTAAAATTAGTATTTTAATGGCTCTGATTGCCTTTGGCATGCAGGATTGGCAGCATTTTCTTTATGCTTCAGTTGCTGATTTCTTGCTTATCACGGTTTGAGACGTTGCCATTACTGGAGATCAGCCTTTTTTACCATGGATCATTTCATATGGCCAATTATCAAACTGATGTAATTTGTACAGATGCAGGAGAATTACATTTGCACAGCAACAAGGATACACTCATTTCATTTTCCAGATGCTTAAAATGACTGGTATGCCAAATGCATAACAGCCAAAAAAGCCATTGTACCTCTTACTGTGACCTCATTTTTGGTATGTTGGAATCATAGGTTTCATCGTGAGTCTTAACACCTATTCCCCCACTTTCTCCATTAAGCCTTCCTAATTCTGGTGCAAGAAATATGAAGTTTTCACATCTCATTCTTGTTATGTTTAACTAGATCTTCTCTTTCACATTTCCATAAAATATTATTTAATCTAAATTAATTCCAAATGATCAGAGCTGATGATGCCAGGCAAATAATAAATGCTAATACTCATAACCAGAGTTAACTGTAACTGTATTCAGATCTTAATTGAACAGGAATTATCCAAGTCATAAAATATAGTAGCACCCCACAGAGAGGAATTTTGCATTCACTGAACTATGAGATTACACTATATAAAGCCATCTCCAGATCTGACAGAAAGCAATGAAAGAAGCCCCACTGGCTTCCAATGGCATTGTGTGGAAGATATCTCAAGTAGAACTGTGTTTTTATAGTATATTTTTAATATCTTACCTGACATGGTTACAAGGAAATTGATTTGAGGTATGTTGGTCAAATGCTGGAACAGACTACCTGGAGAAGTTTAGGAATCTCCATCCCTGAAAATTTTCAAGAGCAGGTTAGATAGACACTTGACTGGGATGGTTTAATCAAGAATGCTTCATTGAGCAGGGGTCAGAAGTACAGGACCTCATAAGGTGACTCCAGCCCGTCTCTATGATCCTGTGTTCACATAGCAGCCTTTCTGTGAGGAAAGTCTGAATAGCTATCCTATACTATCTCAGCAGAGAGCAGAGTACCTAGGGAATATGGGCACAGAATGACACTGCCAGCAGCTAACATGCCACTTGTAACTTTTTATGGTTCAAAGTACTGGGAGCAAAACTGGATATGCAGGGACAGTGTCCATCCAAACAGCAAATGAATAGTGCTGCAAACTGCTTATAGGGAGATGGCTGTTTTGTGCTCAGGCGTTCACTGAAATAGTCCTACCCACTCACTCAATGTTAAAATAACCAGCCTTGCATTTTAACATTTAAAAACAATCATAACAGTTATATTGGGCTGCTGAGAGATTTCTGTAATTTACTGTTGGCTGTTTACTCAGTTCCATTTATAGATTAAATGAATAGAGGCATTGCACTTAGGGACTAGTATTTTCCAGTATTACAGCTTGTTACCTGCAATTTGCTAAGCATAAGCTGGTCGATATTTAAAACAGGTCCTAGTTTTAGTGCTGATGTTACTGTAGTGTATCATTAGAACCAGGCAAAACATTATACTGTAGAAGTTTTAGGGAATGTTCTTGTGTAGTACTTCTGTGAGAATTTGATTAATATGCCATATTATTTTACAAGTGGAACCTCTTATTCAATTGCATCTCATCAAAAGACATGCTTCACACTGAGCCATGTATGATTTCAATGTTTTTTTTAATTAACTTTCTCGTGAGCGTTTTCTTGAATGCCCTTCCTAATCTACAAGTTGCTCTTAAGCCTTCCCCTAGTGAATATGCAGTTGGTATTTTCATCTCGGTGACTAAATACAGACAGTCAAAAAGCCTGAATAGATTCAGTCTTTGCAGGTGAGTCTAAAATGCAGAGATTAAACTTAGAAATAACTGGACAGACATTCATTTTTGATTCAGGAAATGCACACACATACCTGCAGTGGCTCAGGCCAGAAGCCAGGGAGCACTAGATCATGGCTCCGTGGCATGTAGCCAGCATGGACTGTGGTTCAGTTCCTCTTCCTGCTGTCACAACCCAAGGGTGTGATTTTGTGTGTGCGCGCTTCGGCACTGCTAAATTATTTCCCGCCACGAGGAGCTTTCTTTGCAGGGTGCATTTCTCAGTTGCAAAGAGAAAACCCCGGTGCAAAGGAGTTCCCGCCACCCGCATGCAAATTTGTGTCCCACTGTTGGCCAGTTCTAAATTATTCCCACGTGGCGGCTAGCGATTGGCTTGCTAGCCGTATAAGAGGCTTGAGTGGTTTCCGCTCAAGTTGGAGGACTCCACAACCATCTCATGGAGGAGGAGGACTTCACGTCTCGTGAAGAACTCTAAGCGCTGCGGAGCCTAACGGACCCAGCATGTGCCTTAAGAAGGCGATCCCTCGACAAACCCCTTCCCTGCGCGCTTGTTCCACGGAGCCTAGCAAGCTTCGTGTGTGTGTGTATCCAGAGCTCTGTCTGAGTTATTTCGAGAAGCTCGAGTTTTCTGCGGGTCTTGTTCGAGTTCGTGTTGTGGAGCCTAGCAAAATCCACGTGTCTGTCTGTAACTGCAACGCAAGCAAGTTTTCCTGCCTGTACCGCTACCATCTACGGTGTAAGTAAAATACTCCCGCATGCCCCCGAGGGCCTCGGACCGCTCCTGGCCCGCACACCTGCTGCCCCTGAGGTCTCTGGGATTTGCAGTCCAGAATCACAGCAGCAGGACTTTGCAGGGTTGCTCATCACTTCTTCCTCCTTCCAGGTGCCTGTGGGATTTGTAGTCCACAATCACAGCCAGTGGTAAAATTTTAGCAGGCTAAGGCAGCTCTGTACTTGGGGGAAGGAAAATTGTAACCCCCCATCCTTGGCCCCAGACCCAGCTGGGGTTTGTTGGGGGGGGGGCGGGGGGGATGGGGGCAGTCCCTGCCTCTCTCCCAACCCTTCTAGGACAGAAGTTTCATAAACCGGTCTGACCCAAATCAATTAAGTCTGATACTACATTCAACCAGGTTCATCTTAAACCAGTTTCAGCCATTTTGAAACTGGTGTATGTGCACTGAACTTCTGCTCTGTTACAGGTTTAAACCAGTTCCTGATCACTTAAACTGGTTTATGTGCAATTTCTGTCCTGAGCCAGTATCATAGAAACTGAAGAGCATTTTTGTATGTCTCCTGGTATTGATGGCATCAAGCCATAGAAGTTGTATAAAGAATCATTCTGTAGAAACTAGGTAGCCCATATGTTGTACTGACAATATCTGCAATGTTTTTTTAAATAAATCTCATTTCAGGTTAGAATCATTTTAAAATTCAAGGAAAAACAAACAGCAAAATTAACAGCATCTATATATATATATATATATATATATGTCTGGGTGTGGGTGTGGTATGTTTTTCTCGACAGAGATCCTTATGCTATATTTGGATTCTCAGTTAGACCATGGTCCTGGAAAAGGATTTGCAAGGACATGCTTTAATTCACAGAGTTGATTCCTATGTGATTCTGTTCAGGTCCACATTTGCAGGTTCCTTTATAGATTCAGAACTGTAGGCACTTGCACGTATATGGCTATTTTATGCTTCCGAAACTTATGCTGCCAGACTTAAATTGTAAAGTTTAGAAATACAGGACATGATCATTTGCTTATCAGGTTTGAAAATGAGGCTAAACTCGTATGTGTACAATAGCTAAGCTTGCCTTCCCATAGTCATGGGAAAGGAAGCTATGCAGAAAACATAAGGATCAAACCCTTTGCACTAAAAGGGCTAAAAAAATATAAACCAAGTAAAAACACACACACACACCGCAATGGTAAAATATTATGGGAAATTATATCAATTTGTTTTCAGGCACATCACATAATGCACAAAGCATATTTAGAGCAATAAAAATAGCCGCTTGCTTTTATATAACCTCCATTAGAATAACAAGTGCTAGCATAATAGCACTGGTTCATCTTCTCATTTTCTTGTTTATGAAAGATGGAAGATTAAAGCTCTTTTGAAAAATATGAAGTACCCAATTATTTTTAATAGCTGACACTATGCATGCCCAGAAAAAAATGACCACTTCCAAACTAAACTTCTTATAAAAAATTCAAAGCTCTCCCTTTAAATTACTGGTGTATATTACACATGACCAAAACTACGATCACTGCTAAATTCAGCTGCTTATAAAAAATTTAAATACTTCAGTACTCGTGTAACTTCTTTTTAAATTGCAGAAGCCCAGGACTTAATCAATTTTGATTTGAGAGACCAGTTTAAAAGGCAAAATCTATAGAAAACCACCAGGAGAGAGTTTTGTTTCAAAAGATTTAAAAATGGAAATGAGTCGGTCTATTTGAAAAGTCTGAAACCTAGTGATTAGAATTTTATATGTATGTTGTCAAAACTCTATGCCATATTGTTCAGACACAGAAGCCCAAATTTAGATGTCCAAAATAATTTCTCTGCCCTTCACTGAACACTTAAGTGCTCAACATCTCCAAAATCAGCCTGATTTCAACACTGAAGTACAGACTTAAATGGATACTTAAGTTTGAACATTTTGTACCAGACTCATTTGATTTTAAACTAACAAGGGTGGTGTAAATCAATTACTCTTGTTGATTTTATGGTAATCTGAGGATCAAGTATTTGATTCCACCTTGTAATGGCAAGCGTAACAAAATAATCTTTCCTCCCCATCTTAATATCTTTCAGATAGAAAAGCAAACAATGCAAACTAAAAAATAACAACTTTACTTTTAGGGGTGAAGCTTATAATGAGATTTGTACTGCCTCTTTTGTGTTGAGAACTCCTGTGTGCTAAATTTAGAAGGAATCAAATGTTATGTTATTGGGTAGGAGTTGATTCATTCAAAGTTCAGAATGGTAATAGCT